ATAAGTATTATATACAAACCTCAAAGTATAATAACTAAGATTTAAACCATTCAGGATTAGTCGCAAAAGCAAAAAATTACAGTTGGACAACTTTTTGTAGTAAGTAATGGATATATTTTACCACAGTTTGCAAAACATCATAGAGCCACCTTAATATAATGTCATGAAATTGAAACAAGGAAAGCCAATAAAAATGGCTAAATTCTGCGAGGACCTCCCACCCCGATTTTCTTCAAAATTCAATATTTTAGCCTACATTACGTATTCTTTCCTCACAATAAAGCTTACGACTGTCGCACACACAGTTTAGGAAAACTATTGGATTTTTACATCCAACCTCTAAATATTTGCTCCCATTTCAGACTTTCAACCAATGTATCATAATCAATATTCCAATATTTTTCTTTTCAACTTTTCACAAGTTCCATTTCCCATTCTAATACTACTATTGGTATCTATAGATGCTGTGTTTTTTATATTTTGAAAGCTAACAACAAATTTACTTATTTCATAGTAGAAATAGAAACTTATATCATTTTTTGTAAACAGTTGGCAGAATGGCTGACTTGAGGTCAAAACATAAAAAATATTGCGAGGACCTCCCACTCCGATTTCTTTCAAAAATTGTGATTTAAACCTTCACTAAGTCAACTAAACATCCAATAAAGCTTACAAGTGTCGCTCACACGGTTGTATAGAAAATCGAATTTTTAGGCAATTGTTATACTTTTGAAATTTGTTGTCAAAATGGGGCAAATTTTATACAAATGTGTCAACCAAAATTGACACTTATTAGTCGATTATTCTTTGTACAGGCATCAAATTATGTCACTTTATATCGAGAATATCCAGCTACGTGACTATATAAAAATTATTGAGATTCATGCACGATTGAAGCAGTAATATGATAAAATATACACAGGAACCATAACTTCCATGGGCAACAAGGGAAAATAAACAACTTCTAGGAAATAAATTGCCAATGATTGAGGATTAAGGCACACAGCTCAAACCAGTTTACCGTTGCTACAAAGTGTGGTAATGGACCTCTCTTTTACAAAAAAATTCAGCAAGATATAATGTTGTTTAATGTGAAAATAGAGTTCCCAAAATTGTCATACCTGAGTAACTTCTGTCGTCAAACATCACTCCTGCTTCGCCCTTCCACAAATTGAAAGTGGTCGTTTTATTCCAAAATTGGTACATCACGGCTGTAGGAGCTCTGAGTAGACTAACCATGATATGCAGAATTCATTTCTGGTATTTATTTTAAAATCCAACTACTTCCCCCTCGAATATTTGCCCAGTAATTTATCGACTTAAATTTTGACCCAGCCATTTTCGCAAAAACAACAAATTGCTCCATTTTCGCGCAAAGCATGACGGTATTTTTGAGCGCCAATTACTCGATATTCTAAAAAATCTCCTCTTAAACTCTTCGGCCACTAATTTCGGTTCCTTACTGTAGACCACCGACTCTCTTTCCCTATACGCTATATTTTCTTTAATTGCCTTCCAAAGTGACCCAGTATTGTTTCTGTGTTGCTGAACTTCCTTCAGTACATATTCTTTCTGTGCATTAACAAGTGCGGTTTTTGTAAAATTGCGGGCCTCTCTGAAATTAAGCCAATCATAATGATCACGTGTTTTCCTGAAAAGACTGTGGAGCTGGTCTCTTTTGATCATGGATGCTTTTATTTCCGAGGTGATAAATGGGCAGGATTTTCCGCGTACTTTTATGGTCTTTACTGGGGCGTGTTTATCCAATGTATTTAAAAATATTTCATTAAAAATGGTTAGTTTTTCATCAACATTGTCCATTCTGAAAATGGAAACAAGACGATCACGGTTGGATGCCAGATCGATCGCGAACAAATCAGGGTCGTATTTATTCTAGCTGCGGGTAGTGATATAGTTTGGTGGAGATTTGTCGGTTTTAAGTTTTAGTGATACATACACAGGGAAATGATCGCTGATACAGATTTCTATGACGCCGCTGTTGACTACTAGTCTTGGCGAGGATACGAAAATAACGTCGACGAGGGTCTGACTGGATTCAGTAATTCTTGTTGGTGATTTTATTAACTGGTTAAGGTTGAGTTCTTTTGTCGTCTTGATCAAAGACGCTGATCCAGGTGTGGGCTTAAGCATATCCCAGTTTAGGTCTCCAAGAAGAATGATCAACTTTCCCATCGTCAGAGCATGAACATAATTAGGTTTAAAATATTTTTCGAAGCAGTCAAGCGGGCTGTCTGGGGGTCGATAAGAGACACAGACCAACAGTGATTTAGATTTTTTGTGCTGTAATTTGATCCATAATTGATGGAAATTCGTCTCGGAGATATAACTGAGGTCTTTAAGTACAAGAGATTTAATATCTTTTCGTATGTAAACACATACCCCGCCCCCTTTCTTGTGCAGTCGGTCTAAACGATGTAGCTTATAACCTTCGATTTCTATTTCCTTGTTTGTGACGGAGGTATTTAACCATGTCTCTGATACTGTAAGGACGTCAAGTTTGTTAAATTTGGTAAACTTACGTAATTCTAAAAAATGGGCGTTATTTTTCAGAGAGCGGATGTTTAGGTGGACCAGTTTGAGACCTGGAAGGGTACTGAAGCTGTTATCTGACTTTTTTGTTAAATGGGCTGAGGCCGTATCATTAGTTGTTTTCGACGTGAGTGACCACGAGAGTGCGGAAGCGTTTGGAGAGGCAGGGTTGGACAAAGGAACACGAACAAGATTTCTATTTTGCAAGTTATTGTTAACACTAGAAGAATTATTAATGGTTAGTTGATATGATAGTCTCTGACATGATGGTCTCTGACGTGAAGTGATTCTAACAGGTATTTTCATCATATTGTCTGCTGCTGACTCGTCAAACAGGCCACTGTGTGGAGATGGGCCAACCACTCTAGAGAGTGGTGGCGGTGGGCTGTCCGGGTAGGTTATCTACATTAACTGGGGTTGATAATGCACCAGATGGGTGATTTATTTTAGTTGATTCATCGTGTTGGGGATTTACATTGTCAGGACTGTTAAAGGACTTCTTATCTTGTAAAGATGGCTTTGAGGGACTTGAAAAGGTTATGGAAGCCGAGTCTTTAATCATCATTTTCTCCTCTAGGTCGGTAATGCGTGACTTTAAATTCAAATTCTCATTTCCTAATCGGCACAGCTCTTGTTTATTTGTGTCAATAATATGATTTTGTTCAGACACTTTAGTCAACAATTTTTCTATTTGCGATTCTATTTTTTCTTTAAATGTAAGGAGTTGTGCCTCGGCTATAGTCGGTATATCATCAGCTCGTTGTTGAAATGGTGTAGAAAAGCTGGCTGTCTGAGCAAAATTCGGCGTGGCTGCGACATTCGCAATATAATATACGCTGTCAATGAAGTCCTCAAGTTCTTCGAGTGACGAAGTGTCAGCAATCGATTCAAACCCCATATCTTTGGATTGAGTATTGTACGAACAATTGTGAGTTAAAGGGGCCATGTCCTCAAACACACGGCCATTACCAACGATATGTTCGCCTTCGACCGACATTTTTGTAGTTGTTTGGATTAAACTATCCGAGGTCGTATTTGTTTGCTTAATAACGCCTATATAGTAAAGCCGAGTTTCCACTTGCAGTGTTAACGTTTTCGACGAACGATTTTCTCTTCGTGAGTGTGTTTGGTTCTTGATTATTTACGTCGATGAAATTTCTAGCATACGTTAATGATTTTTAGTGACTGTTGGGGCACGTTAACTCCTCGAATAGGAATAGGAAAAAAATTATGTAAAGAACATTTTTACGCCGAAAACGCGAAGTGGAAAATCGACTTTGTGCATGCAGAAAGAAGCGAATACGATTGATCTTTTTTGGCACGAAATGTAGAAAGAAACAAATATGACATAAGCGTAAACGTGTAACGCTTAATTTCCATAAGTTTTAATAAAATAGTGGACAATGTGATTTTGAAAGGGGCTGATTATATGGAGAGTTTTGAGCCCGAGCTGTGTTTCATCCAGGTTTCCCGGTGTCACAGCGGATTTGGACTCCCCGCGGATAGGGACCCCCAGGTATATGTTCATTTCCGTTTTTATTTGAGCAGATTTATGAGGATTTAAAACGCTTTCAGTACAATATTCAAAATACGATATGTTGCAATTACAAAATACGTGAGGGGTCCAAATTCGCGAGGGGAGTCCAAATCCGCTAGCGAATAAAGACACCCATAGGTCCATATTCACTAGTAGAGGATATGGACTCCCCGATCTATATTCGCTAGCGGATTTGGATAAAGTCCTAAGGATTAGAAACAATGAACCAAAACTCTACTGCATTACCAAAATGCAACAACAGATATGCAAGTATAGTGAATTTCAAAGAAGTATTACCCTTGCCATCTACTGGTCCATATAATAATTTTAGTCGAAGTAGGTCACGCAGTAAACATTAAACACATGTCAAAAGCCGAGATCGAGAGCCGTCTAGAATTCCCGTTAAAAAGTTAGTTCATTTGATGAGCAAAAATAGAAAAAGTAGGCGTGTAATAAAACGGTTTATTAAGCAGTCTATTCCTAAATCATCTTGCTTTCACAATTTGCTTTCCACAAGATACCGAAAAAATATAATTCAGCAACAAACAAATGCATATATGTGGAAATTTAGGAAGCCGTTCCATGCTAAGACTAAGCCTATGTCTAAGACTAAGAGAAGAAGAGTTGTAGTACATAAACAATTGTCAATGTCTATGCACAACTTGACAAGTCTGAAAAACAGTACAAAGCGTGCTAGAACTAGAAAACATAAATTGTTTACGTCAAACAGCGTAAGACTTAAATTAAAGTTGTGGGCATTAGTAGTAGTAAATGTAATATGCAAAGAATGAAGACATCTGACATAAATTTCTTATTTGTGTCTGGTGATGTAGAGTTAAACCCAGGTCCCGTAAATACTTCAAATATGTCAGTATTGACCACAAGACTAGCTCGAATAGGACGATAGCCAGTGAACATTGTCGGTGACTGATGGTAACTGTTTATTTCGTAGTGTAAGTCAGCAGCTTTACAGAACAGAAAGTCGTCACGCCCAAATAAGAGCTCTTGCAATCCAACATTTAATAAACTGCCCAGAACATTTCATAGAGTCTAATACTGAACAATCCTGGTTGCATTATTTACAGAATATGTCAAGGCTAGGCTCATGGGCAGACCATATTATCATACAGGCAGTTGCGAATGCAAATAATTTAAGAATTCACATCACAGAAAGTGCGCAAAATTTTACTGAAACTACAGTTGTAACCTCTATTTATGCTCAGGGAAATGTAAGAGATATTTATATCGGACATCTTGACGAACTGCATTATGTTTCTACAACATATATCAATTGAACAATCTGCTTCTGAACAAATTGGAAGTCAGGCCGCAACTGGTAAGCAAAAACCAAACCCACAAAATTCGCAATCTAACGGTAATAAAAACTCTGTCTCAATGAAAAATTTTCAAAAAAGAAAAGAATATACGAAGGAATACATGAAAAAAAGAAGGTCGAACAACGAATTTCAAAAAAAAAGAAAGCGAGAGAAATAAGTCGTATAATAAGAAATACAAAAACTCGAATTTTGAGAAAATTAAGGAATCTTGGAAAAAAAGCCACTGCAACATACAGACAATCAAATCCTGAAAAAGTAAAAGATAGTTTTAAGACAGCCACTGCAACATACAGACAATCAAATCCTGAAAAAGTAATAGATAGTTTTAACTGTAACATATAGAGAAAATTAAATCTTAAAAAGGTCGCGGAATTGTCAAAATTGTCAAATATTATGTACAAGCAGAACTATTCGGAAAGAGTTAAAGACACTCAAAAAAGGCAATATATTAAAAGAAAGTTAGATTGTAGTAGGAGATAATTTAAATGACAATTCGTGTGAAGCTCTGCAGATACCTGGTAGCTCTGACGATTTGAGACAACAAATCGACGTAACAAAGGCAACTGAGTTATTTCATAAGAACATTAGTGTAGGGCCAGAATATATTTGCACCTGTTGTGACCAATTGTGGTATAGATCATCTGTCACTGAGTGCAATGTTTCTTTATATAAATCTTGTTCAAAAGAAATCCTTAATATATGTCTTACTGGTCTGAAGAGCATTGACAACACTGAATGGATATGTGGTACATGTCACTCAAACTTAAAAGTTGGTAAATTTCCAATTTGCGCAAAGGCAAACAAAATGACTTTCCCCGAAACGCCCGAGGTCTTAAAAAATTTAACACCTCTTAAAGAAAGACTAATTTCGCCGAGAATACCATTGTACGGAATAGTGGACCCCCCATATAAGTGACGTAAGCATGATTGACGTTTGCATAAAAGAAACATTAAGAGCATGTTCATGGGGGGTCGTTTATTATTAGATTATGTGAGACGAGACAAAACAAAACAAGCGAGTTGTGAGCGTGAGAATTCTATATTTTTATACAAATAAATGTAATTTGTCTTTGTGATTTCTGTGGTTATATACCTGTTAACAATTTAACAAGAGAAGTGCGGTATATAAGTGGTGCCGTGGCCAGGATTGAACAAAAAATCGAACGGTAATTTAAATATTTAACGAGTGATTTAACGACAACACATATTATTTGGTCATGTAAATAAGATAATTTATCGATTTGTACGACGTGGAACATATAACAATGAGCAAGGAGACAGCAGAAAAACAGAAGGAAGTTGAAATAGACAAGGAAATCGAAAAACTAAAGTACTATCTCAAGCCAATTGACGATATTATTGAAGAAGGCGATTACGCAGAGATCGAAGTTGTAAAGAAACGAACAGATGCCATATTTAACAATGTAAATAATCTTGTTGCAAGTGTACAAGAGCTTAAAATTGATCGAGGAGCTGAAACTCAGAGAGCAATACAACAATGGAAAAAGGACACGAAGGATAAGTACGCGCAATGGGTGCCTAAAATGAACAAGCTTTCGCAAATTCTTGAAAAAAGGCATGCAGAGGGAAATTGACGACGAAGCAGAGCGACGTAAACAAAATGTGCAACGCGAGAAGGATGAACAACGTTTGATCGAATTACGAGAGCGAGAAAAGTTGATGTGGGAGGAAAAGTTCGCCGCTGAGCTGCAAATGACGGAAAGAAAAATCGAAATGGAGAAATCTGCGAAAAGCAGTCTAGCGAAACTTCCTCAACTGAAAATCACTGCATTTAAAGGAACTGCCGCAGATTGGGTTCGTTTTGAGAA